CGTCCCTTTTCCCGGTGTCCCCGCTGCCCAGCCCAGCCAGTTCCCCTACCGCGTGCGCGGACACAGCTGGCCAGCGGCTTTCCTGAGGACAGACCCCAGTCAGGGCTCAGCCCTTTGTTGTGCAGTGAAATTAAAGCAGCGTTCCACAAAGCAGTCCTCGGGACCCAAAGATGGGCCACCTTGCTATCTTCCAGCGCCCTTCCAGTTCAGTCCACATTTTTGCTCCCTCCCAGTTTGCTTGTCACATGTATGAGAGTAGGTCCTAAGTCTGACCTCTAACTGCCCTACTGGGAGCTGGGAGGGAGCAAAAACATGGAACTATTTGGGGATCCCTGTGGACCAGTTTAAGAAATACTGAATTAGACAAGATACCCTCTAGTTTCCAAACACAGAGCATATGGCGAGCACTGAGCCTGCCCCCCCCCCCCTAATAAAACCACACTGTCCACACCCTGTGTGCCAGCCCCAGTCCCTGTCCCCCTGGGTGGGACGACGTGCCAGAACATAAACAGGAAGCTAGCTTTCAGTTAGGGGTCAAACTTAGGACCTACTGTCATACATCTGACTGTATGCCTCGTTGGCAGTCCTGCCATACTCTGCCCCCCCCCCCCCCCCCCCCCCCCCCCCAATCTCTCTGTTCTCTGTCTCCCTCTAGAGGGGGGGTCCCCAGGTGGTAGTGGGTGTGCTCTCTGTCCCCCAATCAGCAGAGAGGAGGCTCTTGGTTGGAATGCATGGTGTCATTTTCCCTCTCGCTTCCTCTGCATGCACATCTGTGTGTTCTTCGGAGTGCAGGCTCTGCCCAGAGGGTCTTATGCCTGTTCGTGGCCTTATTTCAGGTCACAACAACATTTTGTAGACTAGCCCCACCCCCGGTCTCTCGTCCTCCAGTGGTGTTGGGTTTTTACGGGATGGGCCTGATTCCACCCTGTATGCTTCTCATTGGTTAAAAATCTCTCTTGATGGTTCCGTACATGTGTTCTCCTGATCAGAACATCGAGTACATGAGTTCACGGGACAAAAACATTGACGTAACAGATTTTTTTGGAGTGACTCGCTCCCCCTCTCTGTGGCGTCCTGGACAGGCACAAAGGGCCAGACAGGCAGAATGTATCACTGAATAATTAGCGTGTCGCTGCTGAACCTAAAGTACTGAGCGTTTGTTTCCCTGTAACCTGAACCTTATTGTCTTCTGTCTCTCCCTCTTGCAGGACCTACAGTCAGAAGAAGGCTGCCATCGAGAGGGAGTACACACAGGTAGGAACGTGCCCCTGTGGGGTGGAGGGCTGGACCACACACGGGGTCACTCTCGCCACCTGCCGCCTGATTCTGGCCTCCACGCTGCCACCTGCAGGACGCCCCAGGCGAGCGCACGCACGCTTCTCTCAGCGCCATTTGTTGCTGTGTAACCAGAGATCCCGCTTCGCGCCTATTTTGGCAACTTGAGTCTGTCAGCTGTCCAGGTCTCCTGTGTGACGTGCCCAGTGTCCCACAGCCCTGCCTGAAATATTGGAGGCAACAGCAGACCAAGTGGTGCAGGCTGGACCACACCCCCCCGCAGTCACTGTGGTGCAGGCTGGACCACACCCCCCCGCAGTCACTGTGGTGCAGNTTTGTTTTCCCTCACTCTCTTGCCATTCTCTCTTCTTTTTCCTCACTTTCCTATTGCCCCCCCCCGCCACCCGATAAACAGGGCTATGAATTCCTGCTCGCACACTAGGCCCCACATGCATACTGCACGCCATTTCAGAGCCCCGGGGCGATGGGTGGGAACGTTGCGTAATTCGTAAGCGGCGCTGAACTCACGTCCCCTTTCCCGGCAAAACCTCCCCCCAGCGCCTCAAAGCTGACGCAGCCTTACTGGCTGGGCCAGGCCCCACGAAAGGCCTCAGCGGTCATGGCCCCAAGTGCCTGTGCCGGCCTCCAGGGCGGCGCTCCGAGGCAGCTGGGGCCGTTCCCGCTCATTGTTCTCCTGCCGATCCTGCATCTCTGCTGGTAAACACGGCGTCTTGGCTCGTTCTCCTTGCATCGTCGCGATGGTGGTCTTGTGAGCGGAGTGAGCTGAGGCCCGGCAGCCTGGCAGGCAGACAGCGCTCAGAACATGCCAACTAATTCGAAACAGTCGCTGCGTTTCTCTCTCCATTCCTGACCAGCCGTATGTTTCTGCCTTGTTGGTGACTGTTGGTGGTCAGACGGCCCTCTGACGGGACAGAGCGCTCATGCCTCACCACAAAGTTTCCATTTTTGCCGCGAACGCTTGGAGATGCGGATGCACCGGCTCTGCAGTGAGGAGAGTCCAGCACATGTACGACTGTGTCCCCTGAGCCGCCGTGCCAGGCATCGCTGTCCCCTGAGCCGCCAGGCATCGCTGTCCCCTGAGCCGCCAGGCATCGCTGTCCCCTGAGCCGCCAGGCATCGCTGTCCCCTGAGCCGCCATGCCAGGCA